TAGAAGTACAGAAGAGGGATATTAGAAAACGACATTAATAGTTACATATTCCCTTGCGTGTTTAATTGTAAAGTGAATACAGTTACGAAGAGAAGTTTGCGAATAGGAAATAATAACTTAAAACCTGTTGTTTTCTTGCGTTTGTCTCCATGGAAGTATTGTTTATTCGACTTTGACACCATAAAATGTAACATACAAAGTCGTGTGATAGTGATAAAACTACGGACGTGTTCGTTGTAGATAACAGTAATAAATCATGAATCATCGTTTTCAATATGATATTGTTTGTTAAGATGGCATGTGTCTGGATGTGTTGACTTCAATAAAATAATCAGCATTTAACAATATGGTGTTCGAATGCAAATAGTTTTCATTCAAATTTCTGTTTATCTTTTCTACAAAACGAAAAAATACCTAGTGGTAATATTATTGCCCTGTACATACATTTCCACGAGTATTAAATCTATAACATTATCGTCAACCGTATTAATTCAACAATATTATTGTTGTAACATTATAATAATCACTTCTTAAATTGAGGCTTAACAATAACTTAACTTCCAAACTATAACTTAGTGACATTCAGGCTAGGAAAAATAACTAAAGGAAATTAGCAATTTCTCATGTTTGCATGCAGCTGACGCTTTGCTCATTTTCACGTCGATGTTTGGCTACGAAATTACACAAATTTAAAATCTCGACCTGCGTGAAACGGCAAACTTCGACGTGGAGGAAAACTGTCGGCGCTAAACGGTGTATCCTTGTGAATGTCGCCGTGACTTGCGCGAAGGTCTCATAAATCCAGAGGCTGTGAGCTGTGTGTCGGAGTCTCCGCTTCTTCCCTACACCAAATCACGCGGCTCTTCCCTATGCTCCCGGCAGGATGCGTGAGGAGCGTAAATGTGTAGATCTCGAAATCACTTGCGAGACGTAACATACCCTAAATTATGAGGAACTTTAAAAAAATGTAAATCGTCTACAAGGACATATGGTTATTTTAAAAATTAAGTTGTGTCCAACAAATACTGGAAAATACTGCTCAGCCCTATAGCTCAGCTCAGAAGTATACTGTTCCCCCGAGCGTTCTGGTATGTTTACTTTTATATGCACTTCATGAAATAATATGTAGATCGAGACGGAAATATTGCGACTTCGGTAGTACATATACATCGTTCTCTCTGGAGCGAATTTGATCGGGAGGTTCTAGGGTTCGAGTCCAGACATTAGCGGATTTTCGACACTAGCTTTATGTTTGTCTGGCTATCTGGGACGAGCCGCGTCACTGACACGGTGGCTATTTTTTCTAAACGTTTCGGCCAGCGTATTGTGACCTTCTTCACAGCGCACTGCTGACGCTGCTACAGCAGTACGCTTTGTAGAAGATCACAATACGCTGGCCGAAACGTTTAAAAAAATAGTCACCGTGTCAGTGACGCGGGTCGTTCCGGATAGCCTAGACAACACAAACTCCGGCCGCGGAAGCCTACGCAACCACTAGCTTTATGGCTAAGTCGAACTCAGCCACTCTTTGAAGCATTCTAATCCGGCCGCTCTGATTGGTAGTTTTCCGTCGCTTCTCCAATCAAAACCAGGCGCATGCCGGAGTATTACTCTAAAAAATGGGCCATGGACCGCGCGCGAACTTTCCTTTCTCTTCCTTACACATTCACATATATACTTACATGCACACGTGTCAGGAAACTAATCGGAAGCTTAGAGCGTATTCCGGTTGGGGCAGCGCCCCGCTCGGAGGAGATAACTGTGAAATCCCTCACAAGTCGAAATGGTGGTTGGCACTGAATTTCATCATCGGCTGGAGAGGAAACCCGCTACTATCCGAGATAAAAAATTCACTTCACTTGTGGTACTAATGACCACAGCAGTTGACGTGCCCGGAAACATCAATTATTCGTCACCTCATATATTATTCTCCTCTTACGGGACTAATGATCTAACATCACACGCCCTAAATCAGTATTCACTCACTCATGACTGACATTTAGTGGGCCATTTTTTACAAAATCTATCGACTACGGCGCAAGTGGAATCAGGAAATTGAACAAGAAGGGCTTGCGTTTCCGCTGGTAAGCTCGGAGAAAGGAGAAGGAAGAATTGGCGGCGGCGTGGGCGACTTGAGCGCGCAGCAGGGCCGAGGGCCGGGCTCTCTCGCCGTATTGGTGAGTCGGATGAGTAGATGAGCGGGAAAAGCGGGCCCGGGCGGGAGCGGGAGAAGTTGGAAAGGAAATTTGGGCTGCCGCCTTGGGATGCGCGCGCTCTCTTGCGGTGCGAAATGAGCGTGGGAGGTGACGGTCGGAGGGGGAGGGGGGAGGGCCGGGGACGGAAGAGCAGACGGAGACGCGGGTTCACAAAGTGTACGCCATCCCGGATTTTACGCGGGCAAAAGGTGCGATTTGTAAGGAACTTTCGTTTGGTTTTATTCACTCCCTGAATGTGTGCTACCCATTTCTTTTCCATAGTTACATAGTTATGAGATGTTCTCATCAGTCTATCGCTTTGTGGGCACCTGAACGAGCTATTCGGATTCCACATATTGATAAACCTGTGATCATGTGCATTAGGAGTATTTCCGCCGTAAATAATTTGGGTAGGGTAGTTATAATAGGAATATAAAATATGATTTGTAGAAATTTTTTTTTTGTTAGCAGTATTTTTTTCATCTGTTTGCTTCCCCCCCAATTTTTCAGATTTCTGATGCTTATCGCACTCTTTAAAAAATACTGTCCTGAAGAATATGACTTTAGGTGACTACATCTTTCACACTGTTCCTCGAAGTAAGATGGCTCAAATCTCTGGCATAGTTTTATATTAGTTGGAAACAACACGCCATTGCTACAAAGTTTCGCTTTTTTCAGTTCGCTCATCGTGAGTCGATTTAACTATGTTCATTTATTCCTTTATAGATTTTCCTGAAACTATATGAGGTCGCTGGGCGCCTTGTTATATTTTTTTCTAATAACATCGAAGATATTTGTTCACCACGTTATGTAACGCAGGATGGAGTGCTTACTGTTGATTTACAAAACGATGCTTTCCAGTCTCCTGTCGCTTAATTCGGTTGCGTTTAAAAATGCTGCGCCCCATTCGAAACCCCAGCTTTCATTGTGTATCTGGGATCCTCGTGCCCGCGCCTGAGCGCGGTGTGGCGCTGTGGAGGGCGGCGGGATCCGCCTACGCTCCTCCCCGCCCGCATTTCCCAGCCTCATCGTAACCCCACCCCACCCCACCAGGCCCGCCGCGCGTCTGCTGCTAGCGACCCAAGCTCGTGGGACGCGGAACTTTCCGAATCGCGAAGCAAGCAGGTCACCGAAAGCCTTTCTTGCTACAATGCCCACTGGATCACTTTAGGAACTGGAACAAGATAGGTTCAGATAGGACGCGCTGCGTTGGTGTGTGGTGTGAACTTCCTCCGGCGCTGGCGTCGTGGAAGGGCTGTGGCGGGGCCGTGGCGGGGCCGCTCTGACAAAATATACGAGAATCTGCCATGCCTTACGCCATTTCCATGAAGTTTGACGTACCCTAACTTGCTGCTGAAAATCAATTAATACATGAATTTTGTCGAAAATCTTAGTATAATATTTAAACTAATACACAAAAAAGCTGTTTCAAAATTGAAAAAATAAAGCAAAAAATAAAATAAAATCCCTCAATTTTATGAACATCAATTATTTGTTACTTAACGTTTGATAAAGTTTGTTTTCAAAAATGTTTGCGTGTATGTGTATGTGCGCGTACGCGCGCGTGTGTGTGTGCGTGCGTATGTGCGCGACTGACGGCGTACGTGCTTAGTATATGCGTTGAGTGCGGGCGCGCTTACTTTCTTACGTGAGCACACGTGGATATACGAGTGTATGTAAAGACGTTGATTTGTTTATTTGCATAAAAATAATTGACAAAAAATGTTTATTTGTTGTTTCAACTAACAGCATTGCTATCATGTCCAGTCCTTAATGTGGCTACCAGCAGGTAAACCACAACTAGCCAAGAGTTGTAAGCTAATAAACAAATCGGTGATCAAACTACACCTTTCTTTTAATTTAATTCCAATAAGGTGACAATAACCACTTCAAACTCCATATCATATATCTCAGCAATGAAATCATTGTATTGTTACATCTTGGTGCTGTTTTTTTTTATTTTTTTATTTTTTACTTTGATATTGTTTATATGTTCTGGTTTCTCAAGTGAATGTTCAAATTTCTTTAAAATTCACTTGTGTTATTTGCACAAAAATAAGAAAATCTAGGACAGAAATGTTTCTTACAACTTACCTAAAAGAATGATATTCTCAATTCATAACCGTTGATTATTATTATTATTTTTTTTTTTTTTTTGATGTGTTAACATTTATATCTGTAATTTTTAACAATGAAATACCTCCATGTGTGATGTATAAATTTTTGTTCTGATATGTCAAAAATCCCTTATACCATGTCAAATTAATCTCATAAAACTATGTGGAGTTGAATTTATTTTGACAAAACATTAACAAATAAATAAAAATTAATAAATAAAAAAATGCCAAGAGTACTCTGTATGCCAAATGCTAACTTTGATTCACTTAGTTATTTTCATCCCTTATTTAATCCACAACACAGCTTATCAAGCACAACAATTCAAATAATTTTTTTGAATTTAGAATTTCTCATGCATTTATATAGAATAAATGTTTTTGCTTACATTACTGGTGTATTAGAAAACTTTTGCTTCTGACAAAAATTTTCAGCCAATACAAATAATTTTTTTATCAACAATATTATTTTAATGAGTAAAAACTTAAATTTAATCCAAGGCTTACTAATTCTCACTATACTATATTTCATATAATAATGCAAGAAGCAAATTATTTTTATTAATGTAACTTATTTTGTGATGGCGTTGAATACCAACAGTGTTATAATATATGCATGAACCATTGATGGAATTGTGAATAATGTATGAAAGTATAAAATTGTTCATGTGTTTTTCTTATTGTGTTGTAGGTGAAAAATGAAATCTGGATCTCCAACGAACATGTATGCCTCATGTCCTCATCTGGATGATTCTCATGACACAAAACATGATAAAGAAATGTCTTTGGAAGATAAGGCTGTCCATGAATTAACTGCCAAATATGACAGCTATCAAGGATTAATGCAGCAACGACGTTTATCCTCAGTTGATGGAAGTGAAACTGCCAGTAGTGCTGGTGCTGAATCTACAGAAGCAGCTGGTCAAGTGTCAGATCATGAGCGAATGCAAGTTGAAATATTTTTTCGGAGTCTAAAAACTCAGGTAATGATAATTTATAATGAGTAGATAAATTTGTCAAGTTTTCTAAAGTGATATTTATATCATGTTCTAACATATTATTAAAATTTTAATAAATAAACTATTAGCCACCCATCATAACATATTCAGTTTAATAATTCTAATCATAAATGAATTTCATGTTATTTCAAACAAAAGGATAAAAGATTTGAAGCAAAATTTGCTGTGATAATGTGTCTGTGAGTCATGTACCAGGCATGAAGAAATTTTTGTACATAAATTACAATTTTACATTGAAACTGTTAGAACATCTGTAAGATTTGCTAGACTTCTAAGTGTACAACAGCTCTGTGAGATCATGGGACTGCCAATTATATTTTTTGTTGCATAGTCAGCTTATTGAGCTGCATCACCATATCGCTTATATTTAATAACAAATTTGGATGTTTAGATAGATCTCTAATTACCATTTCAATCCTTAATCAACTTCATGTCAAGTGCATCCAATTTGTTGCAATGAACTTTTTTTCAATCTTTTTAATATGTTATTGCCATCTAGAAATATTTTTAAGAGAAATTTGTATAGATTTAAAGATTAATCTATTCATAATTGCAATTTCATTTAACCTATACAGATTTAACTGACTTAGTTGTTAACCAGCTTAAAATTTCAAACACTGAGAAGGTGTAACTGTTGTCTTCAGTAGTTGCATGACTAATATGATTGTGATCTCTAATGCATTTGATAATCACTGAGATATATGAAAAACTTTCAATCTGAAATCATTCTTCTTGATTATTTTTTCAAAAGTTATAACAGTTCATAGCATTAGTTCTGACCTACATCCAAGCGACCTACATCCATCTATCTCAATATTCATAACATTATTATATTTGTTAGTTACTAGAAAATAATAACATTAATTATCTGAAATTTTCTTTACAGGTATTTGTTTGTGGCTCCCTTGCAAATTTATATGTTGGATCTACAGCTTCTGAAGGTGACTGGGAATTGAAGCACACTGGAATACCTGTCTTGATTCTGGACAGTGGAGAAGCTCGATCACGTGATAAACGTCGCATACAGATTTTGTTGGCTGAACGAGGAACATGTTTCACTCTTTGGAGGGACACAATTGACAATCTTACATCATACCGAGTGGCCGGTCATGCATTTCACACTATGCACTTGTCATCTGATCACTCATGCTTAATTGGCTTTAGCTTTGACAGTGTTTCTGCAGCTGCAGAAATGTGGAACCATGTTGAGAAGCTCACATCTTCTCCAGAAAACATCAGTTTGTCAGTTCCTGGGCGCCGTAATCGCAAACCTCGACGTGCTCCTAAACCACAACCACTACCAAATAAGTCCAACATATCTCAGCCATGCTGTTTTCAACATATTACAAGTGTTGATGCTGGTGATAGGTCACGATATTTCTCATTGCAAACTCTTGTTCCTGTATTTTCAACTCAAAATAAGGAGCAAGGAACAGAGCTTTAAGAATACTAAGACTGATATACTACAGACATTAAGAAATTAACACTATTTGTTTTAATCAGAACTAAGGAAAGTGAGTTTGTATATTATGGGAATACTGTTCATTAAAAATACTATTGTTGAGCTTATTTGCAATATGTAATTGGCAGCTATAAAGTGTCTTGATAATTTTTTTTTCTTTTCACAAATCAGTACTATCGGATATTTCATACAGATCAAATACCAATTAATGTACAAAGTATAAAACGGCAAAATTTTGAATAATGCTCAGAACATTAGTAATGATCTGTGAACTGTTCTCTCTGATATGATTTTTTCACTTTCCACTTTAAAAATATGTTTTTCAGAGAGAAATTACTTTGAAGTCATCATAAATTCTGTGTTGCAATCCTAGCAATTCCAATGGCTTTACATTTGGAATGTTGGTAGTAGACAACTGAGAACAATTTTCCTGCAAGTTTATTTGAGATGATTGTGCCATTCTCCAGATTTGATACCCCTTGTACCAGGGATGTGGACATATCGTTTGCCAATTTAGTAGCACTAATCATGTGGTATTTAATTCAATGTAAATAAACATTCCTTTATTGGAACTACGTAAGAAACTTTTCATATTAATTTCCAATTCTCTCTGAAGGTAAGACATGAACATTGAAGAGAGAAGACATGTTGTAATGATTGCTGATTTCAAGGTGTGGTATTGTAGTTACAAAAATGTGTGTCTCTTCAATTATAAAGAAGATGTTGAAAAAAAAAAATTAAATTATATTGTGATAAGAAAAGAATGTTATGAAAAAATATGTGAAGTATTTTATGTTCAAAATAGTGGACAAATGTAGCCCAAATCTAGTTTTCTTTTAAAGAATTTATTAAGAAAATTCCATGAAAGGAGAAGATTGGAATACAGAAATGAAATGGACATGATGATATTGTAGTTATTTCTTTCATGATGGATAGAAATTAGAACAATTTTGCACTGAAGATTTTGTGTGAAAAGTGTTAAACAGTAAGAAAAAATATCTATTATTCTTTAAAAAATAATGAACAATTGAATTAGAAAATCTTGTTATTATACTGTTATAAGGTATATTTTTTTTAAGTATATCAGCAAAGATGTAAGATATTGTCCTTAGAAAAAAGGGAATTTATTTTGATGTTTGTGACTGATGCAAGTGTAGGTGCTTATATTGTGCAGATTATTTTCTGGAAATGGAAATGTAATTTATGAATTAACCCAAGACACTGTGAGCTGATTGACAAGTGTATAGATACTGTGAAATAACTGACTTAGTTATCTTACCAGACTGCTTTAAAAGAAGAGTCACATCATTAATTGCAAATTTTGATGTGATTGCAGAGGCCTTATGTGTGAATTATTTCTAACATGAAATTATGTCATTTAGGAAAATAATTTGGTCATATTCTGTCATGTAACATATATTTCCAAACGAAAGTTCTGCTTCAAATTTTTCTTCTGTATTTTGTGTTTTGAAATATTTAATTCTGAAGAATTTTGAAAATATGAATTTGTAAAGAATATTATATTATATGAACAATGACAAAATGAAATTTATTTTAAGATTATTTGTGTACTTATGTTACAAGCAGTTCATAAGATGAAATATCTTGAGAGATGATTTTTAATACTATTTCAGGTAATTTCTAAGGTATCTGCTCTTCAAAATTATAGAATCTCTCTTGCTATTATGTGACTGGATGCATTCTCTGGCATTGAAAAGATTTCATCTTTCCTTTTTTCTTCATTAATTTTCTTCATATAAATTGCCCCATATAAATTGCCATGAAAAGCAACCTCCAAAAAATATGTATTTATATAAAATTATTTCCTCAATTGTTGAGGAATCCCTTTTAGTATGAAATGTGTTAGTAGAGTCTAGAACACTGTGAAATACATTTGTTAGTCTATGTTGTTTATAATGGCATTATCAGTTTTATGATTCAAATAATTTATTAGTAATATAATAAATCAATTTATTTGCAATCTAATATTGCCAAAGCTTAGTTACATACATTATTTTCATTATGTGAAATTTAAAACATTCTTAAAGCAAAGAAAATAGTTCAAAATTTAATATAAAGAAAAACACACTTTAACATGTTTAAAGCCATTTGATTTACAGAATTTGAGTGTAGTGATAATCTAATATAATTACCAATAGAAAATACTTCAAATGGCCTTGGCAAAAATTAACAGTATTTACAATTCAAAATGGAAATGTCTATTTAACGATGTTTCTTAGTGACCTACTTTCCTGCGAGATCTTTCAATAGCATCTCTCTTCAAACTTGTAACTATTTTAGATTTACTGGATATCTTTTATATGCAGACACACAGATATATTTGCATTCCTTTCCATGCATATTGTATTTTTTAAAGATTTTCTCTGCCACATGATGTAAAACCACTCTGTAATACTGGATAAAATATTCTAACACTTTTATTTTAAGCATTATTGCTTAAAATTAGGACAAACAAAACTATAAAATACCAAATGTATTGTAATAAAATTATATCAATATTTTAATTTGTTTTCTGAAGTTATATTTGTATAAACCAAAGATTAGACATGTTATTTTTACAATTATTACATCAAAATTTGAACTGATACATGACTTTGGATTTATATCCATTGTACATTCAAAAGATTTACAGATCCTACAAACCTAATTTCATTTATGCTATGAAACATTTTGGAATTGGAAATATTTGGCATCCTTGTTTTTATATGAAGAATTCTACTTAATTTAATCAATCAACATTATTTGTTCTATCATTGTAATATCATATATTGACGTGTGTAAGTTAAAAATTAATATGCTTAATTTGCTGAATGTTGTTTCATATTGAGAATATAGAGCAACATTGTTACATTTTGTTTTAATGTACATTAAGAATGACATGCTGCCATCAGCAAAATATATTATATGTCACTGAGTCTTGTAGAAAATCATGTAGAAAACTTGTTCACCCATTTAATTAATGTATGCTTGTGTTTCTTAAATAAAGCAAAGAAAACTTTTTTCAACTTTCATTAAACCATTTTTAGTTTTACACTTAGGGGTATCTTCTTTGGAACTTAATGACATCTGATGACCTGTGGTCTAGCATGGCAAAATGAGTCGATCAAAATAGGAACAGATATATTGCTAAATTTTGAATGTATGTAATCTGGTAGGGTATGTGAGAATCTGTAGATGACAAATATGTAGCATCTGGATTCATTTACTTGGAATGCAATAGTGATTTTGCTGTGATTGAGAAACGTAAATCAAGACTTCCATTTGTTTTCATACCTGATGACTGGGTTTCTGTCAAGTCAAAAGCCAGCAAATAGTACTGTAAATGTGAGAAGTAATGATTTTTTATCACTTGATGCAATGGATATGTTGCAAAGAAAATGCAAAGATGAATCAGAACAACCAATAAAGTGGCCATCCATAAGATGGATGTGTTTTGAAAAATAACTACCATTTCTGATGCTTATAAAGTCAACATTGAATGTTGATTTTCAGTTCAAAGAATTTAACATTAACAAAAGATTAAGATAGCAATGTCCATCCATTTATCTTTCTCTCTTATACAAGGGTCTCCTTCCCATTAAGGAAGCAAAATGGAAGAACCTACAGAAACTTGTGAGTCTGGTTCTTCCAATACATCATGTTTTTTTATAATGGTTTGCATCATTCGTGAAACCAAACTATAAATGCTTCTACAAGAGGTAAAAGGGGTAGGGGAGGAAGGGCTTGAGGGCATGGACTAGCAGAATGTATGGGACATGGGGCATTGAACAGGACCTGGTCAAAATGGGAGACCAATCACTAAGAAGACAAATAGGTACTTCTGATACAGATTTTGACTGCTCCATCATGTCCTCAGACAGTGCAGAGGACCTTATATTTTGAACTGTGATTGTGTTTTGGTAACTTTCTTTTCCATACAAGATTGAACTTGAGACAAGTAATATTACAAAGTAGTAATTTTTTGGGGTGGGGTTGGGGTTTCAAACACAGTTTGAAATTGTTCAAGCAAAAGTCATTAGGGGATATGCATGGAGGTGTCTGAAATCTATGGTAATGAAATTTATTTCTTAAACTCTATCAGGATTCTTTATTCTTGCTTCCACTTGAAACCCAATTTTCTCAGATATACATTCATATAACTTGTACCACCTTTTTACTGAGAGACTCAATTTTGTTATTTATTAATCATCTTTATGGAAGCATGATAGTGTATTAAATTAATTTTATACTTGTTTCCTTCTCGAAAAACTGGAATAAAGTCATCCAAAAATTGTCAGATATGAATCATAATTCATTATTATGACATTAATTCATTAAAATCTCCATCTTCAGTATTGTAGTAGTAGGATTTTAATTGAAATGAGACCTAAACCATTCTTTGAAGTGTCCTTTACACTATTTGAGGACAAAGTTCAATCAAAAAATTTGGAGTAATTTTTCAGAAAATTTGAAAATGTTGTTGAGGCTTCACATAAAGTCAGGGTTACCATTCGTCCTACTTTCAGTAGGACAGTCCTACAATCACAATGAATGTCCTACGTCCAACAATGATGCCTAATGTGTCCTACTTTGAGAATAAAATATTAAGTTGGTTTTTATAAGTCTGTACAATTGATTTCTAAACGCCCGGATATGATTTTATGAACACAATAACATAACATTAATTTATCAACCCAACAAAAAAATTTGCGTTTTACTACAAACTTCCACTTTTTGCCACTGCAGTAAGCGCTAGTATCGCTCTGTTTGGATTTGAATTGTGATGGTCAAATGATGTATGGTTCCAAGAAAATGTATTTTAACCAATTTTTTGCTAATTGCAAAACCACTACATGTGCAGTTTTAATTCAATTATTTAAATTATTTGAACAAATATTTGCAAACAATTGATAAGTTACAAATTATTGTATTTTATTATAAACATTACTCTTATAATAATAGATATTACATAATTATTATAAGAAAATAAATACTGACATTAAAAATGATATTTTAAATAACCTAAAATTAGCTCAATACACATATCAATCCAAGATAATTTTACTTTTGCTTCTATTTGCACGTTTTTTTTATTGAATTTGAAACTAATTTTTTCAGATTTGAATTGTAAGTCCATTATGTTTTAAAATATATTATTAGGTCATTGCGAATGAAATGATTGATATTTATATTCATGTATAATCCAGGAATTTCATTTGCAATGATCTAATATAACAAAATAATTATTTTCTGCATAAATTTTGATACACATTCAATTTTATTTTAGATATTAAAGATGTAAAAATGGACACTTCAAACAAGAAAAGGAAATGTCTTTTTAATGACAACTGGTTACAAGAATATACATGGATTAAAAAAGTAAACGATTCTCAAGGCTTGTGCAAATACTGTTAAATACATTTTGTATTGAATTTTAAAAAAATGTCTCTGCCATTAAGCAGCCCTTTTTTCATTTTCTGAAAGTCGTTGACATGAATTTCATAAACAAACGTGAAAACACAGTTGATTTTCTCAAAGCAAGTTGTTAGTCTAAGTTAAAAATATCATGCATTATTTCCACTGTATTTTATTCAAACTATACTTACAATACATATACATATGTATATAGTGTTACTTTTTTTTATCAGGCAGAATAGCAATATGATATTTTTCTCTCTGTAATTCTTTAGTTTTCTGCTATGGAACTAAAACAAATCTCACACAAATGTAAATATTTTAAATTAGTATGTGTAAGTTTCTTATTTGAAAAATAGAAAATATAATAATACGTAAGTACAGAGGTAAAAGTCAAATTTTTGTGGTTCTTAAAAGTTTTTTTCAGTTCTTTTTAGTCCATTGTTATAACTGATTGCAAAACCAGCTGTGTTCACTTGATTGCAACACCTTTTTCAAGTATTAATTTTTTCATCATTGAATGGCCTTTTTTCTTCGTATGCTCTTTGCGTTAGTAAACTGACCAAATCTGATTTGCAGGAAATAAGCTGGAATATATTCCTCTGGATTCCATCAATGTTGTCAGATGCTGAGATTTCTACTCTTCTTGACTTTTCAAAATTAAATTCATGATGTCCTGATACAGTAAAGAACTCTTTTTTTCTTTCTTACTTTCTTTAAAAGGGGTATATTTTGTAAAATTGGGGCCACCACTTTTGGAAATCCAAACTATCGTCTGTTTGAACAAGATCAAGCATAAATTTCCCATGTGTTGAGGACAAAATCATGGATGCGACTTCTTTTACAGTGTAATTCCTGTCTTGTTTCTTCAATTTCTAAACCAACCAGATCAAAATCCTAGTCGGAGGGTAAATAAGAGCGGCATCCGTTTACTGCCTGTAGACTACGTTTTTAAATCTATCATTGTCAGTAAGATACATTAAGAATCTTGCCATAGCATGATTCTTGTTCTGCTTGGGTCAGTTGCCACTGTACTGGTGGAGTTCAACAGTAGAGGTAACATTATTAGTGATGAAAATTGTTAATGAAAAGGTGCATACTTCATTACTCCCCTTTTATGCAACCCCCTCATTATTCAACTACAAAGTTGCAGTCTCATTCTTGTCATTATGCATGCCAAAAGGAAAAATGGACAGTAGTTTGAGATGGTACATCTCTTGAACCAGGATTCTTGATAGTGAGATGTCTTGCATGTAGTCAAAATATAAAAGGAGTGCATTATCATGGATGATAGAGTACTCTTTAGTTTAATGTAAACTGTTAAAAAACGTCCTTTTATTGACAAGGAGTTGTGCAGCTTTTGTACAATACTGTTGTATTGTTTTTTGTCATAACTATTAGAACAAGTCCCTTAAAAATTTAGAGAGTAAAAGTTTTTTTAAAAATATTTTATTCTATATCAAGTAGATATTTTCCTCCAATGATTTTTCGGGAGTTACTGAAAATGGGGGTGCGGTAATTCATGAAACGTCATTGGAAAAAATATTTACTTGATGTGCAATATAAGATTTTAAAAAACTTCTACTGTCTAAAATTGTCTAGAGACCCGATCTAACAGCTAAGCAGTTGTTACTCTCTTTGCAGTATCATTGAACTGTGGGTTTTTCAGTCTTACATTAAGCTGGTTACACTCACCTCTCTATTTCAGACCTACCAAAATGACAATTGATATATTCATTGTACTTGCGGTAACAAGTAATTCCTAAACATTTTAATATCCCATGGATTCCCTAGACTTCCTCAGTGAACGAGGAAGTACCTTTACTGCATTTCCTACCAGCAGTAGCGTTAAGTTCCACAGAGAACGCCCTTGGACCGACATAATATTGAGGCATTTAATTGGGGCCCCCCAACTAAAGAGATGTCATTAATTTTATTTAGTGATTAAAAACTGAAATTTAAGTGTGAAAACATGCATTACAACAAACTATTAAAAAAATAAATTATAATTTTTTTCAATTTCATGGCATAACTTAAAATTTAAATTTTGGTATATTCTTGGCATTTACAAATTTAACAATAACCGTAGAAATATTATTTTTCTACCACATCTCTTTTTTTCGTGCTCAATTGATACTATACTTACATTCTTGTGCCTATATACTTCGTAAATAAGTTTTAATCAGCTTTAATTTTGAAAATGTTCTTTGTCAAGCTCTGCAAAGCGGGACAAGAAGTGTCAAAATAATTTCAATACTGTACAGATGTCAGGAAAACTTGTTAACAATGAGTAATGTTCAGTTATTAATGCGAGTGCGAGATCTTTAACTGATCTTAGTTCTGAAATTTAATTTTTTAAACAAATGCGCAAAGTTAATAAGTGAGTCGATAATTTTTCCGTAAAATCAGCGTGGAGCTTTGATTGACGTTTTTGTGCTTCTGCGTCTAATTTCATCGTCTAAAAGAGCTATCAAAACTTGTGGCTGAATCACTTTTTAAATTGCCACTGTATTTTCCAATTCCTCAAATCGTCACTCTAACTGATTAATGGCAATATCTAGGTATCCATAGTAAATATTAAGTTTGTATTTTTGTTGGTCCTCAG